ATCGGTGTGTGTGTGTGAATCAGGGTGTGTGTGTGTGTGTGTGAGAGAGAGAGAGAATCGGTGTGTGTGTGTCCGTGTGTGTGTGTGAATCAGGGTGTATGTATGTGTGTGTGTGTGTGTGTAAATACCTCCTGGGAAGCAGCTTGCTAATAAAGAGCTGCAGAAAGCTTGGAAAATTGCTGAGAGGAATTAGAAAAGCCCTAACCGAATGGAGAGACAGGATCCTGTTGGTTATGGGCCAGAAGACTCAATAATATGTCAGTTCTCCCTGAATTGACCTGCAGGTGTAGTGCAGTCCTAAGCACTATCCCAGAAGCTTTTACAAAATACATGTGTCGCCCTAACCGGTTTGGCTCAGTGGATAGAGCGTCAGCCTGCGGACTGAAGGGTCCCAGGTTCGATTCCGGTCAAGGGCATGTACCTTGGTTGCGGGCACATCCCCAGTAGGGAGTGTGCAGGAGGCAGCTAAATTGATGTTTCTCTGTCATCAATATTTCTAACTCTCTATCCCTCTCCCTTTCTCTCTGTAAAAAATCAATAAAATGTATTTTTAAAAAAATACAGGTTGTCCCCAAAATGTATGCACACTCAGAATGACGTACTAACTGCACTGGGTTAAATCTGGGAGAAAGAAGCAGCAACTGAGCTGTGAGAGGCGGGTGCATTGCTGGGGGCACACCGTATAGAAAGTATTGAAACTGACAATCTGATCCTGAAGCTGTGATGGAAATACAAGGACCTAAAAGAACCAAAACACAGGAAAGGGAGGACACTCACCCCTCGGGCTCACTGTCAAGTGGCAGGAGTCAAGGCCCTGGAGAAAAGACAAGACGGTCTCAGTGACGCAGGGACAACCCGCCACGCCGAGGGGCCTCCCACAGCTCGCACCCTGCGCTTCCTTCAGTCGGTCACAGACCCCGCGGGAAACTAACGCTCAAATCCCGGGAGGAAACATCAAAGACCATCGTGGGCTCTTGGTCAGACGGAGGTTTTATAAATGCAGCGGGGACTCGCCGCCTACGCGTGAGAAGCAGAGGCGCTGGCCTCCCCGGGGTGCAGACCTGGCCTTCATCGGGTACAGACCTGGCCTTCATCGGGTACAGACCTGGCCTCCCAGGGGTGCAGACCTGGCCTCATCGGGGTGCAGACCTGGCCTCCCCAGGTACAGACCTGGCCTCACCGGGTGCAGACCCGGCCTTCATCAGGGTGCAGACCTGGCCTCATCGGGGTGCAGACCTGGCCTCCCCAGGTACAGACCTGGCCTCACCGGGTGCAGACCCGGCCTTCATCAGGGTGCAGACCTGGCCTTCATCGGGGTGCAGACCGGGCCTTCGAGAGACACTGGAGAGGACGAGTAGTGGAGCCGCAGTGAAGGGCGCCTCCCGGTAAAGAGTTTGTCCCAGAGGCGCCGAGGTCTCGCCCAGCCCGACAACACAAGGAGAAACAGCCTGACTTCAACACGCGCAGCAGGTGGGGACCGACGCCCCCGGCAGAGGGGGTGATGGAGCAGCGAGGAGGCGCTCGGCATAACCAATCTCCAGGGAAACGCAAGTGAAGCCGCCACGCGGGGCGCCGTCTCTGGAGCTGGCGGGCTCACCGCGGACTGTGCCACACAGAGCGGCCGGTGGGAACCGCACAGGGGAGACAGTCCGGCAGCTTCTTACACGGTGAGACGTGCCCGGCCGGTGTGGCTCCCTGAGTGAGCATCTACCTATGAACCCGGAGGTCACGGTTCGATTCCCCGTCAGGCACACGCCTGGGTTCCGGGCTCCATCCCCAGTCGGGGGCGTGCAGGAGGCCCCCTGGGAAGCCCCGGTGGGCCTGGAGGGAGGTGTGTGTGGGGCT